ATTGATAAATATAAGGTAATCACTTTAGGGGCAAATTATTTGCCATTTTTTTCTTTATACTATAAAGGTTTTTTTTTGGTAAGAAAATTGGGCCATTATATTATAAAGGCAATATTCTCAGCAGGCTTGAGTACCCTAAGTACAGCTTAAAAAGAGCTGCTGATGGATTCTAGATAGAACTGCATTCGCTTCTCCCATGGAGGCACAGCTTGTATCCTGTGCAGTTTTATTGGGACATTATGATTAGAAGTATCTTCTATTCAGATTTTGCTCTGAAGGAATATAAACAATTTCCAGGTATTCATGCTTTCAGTGTTCTTGGGAAAATGTGACATTATTCATTGTAGCTTTGTAGGTGCATTTAAATGAGTAACAGGCTGACTCATGTTTACTTGTGTATTTTTTTTTAAGATTTATTTATTTATTTTTTATTTATACAAGCACTGGGTACAGTCAGAAGCACGGGAGGGTGAGAGAATTCACCAGCGACAGAGCGGGGAGCAGAACAGGCAGACTGACGAAATACACTGCTGAGGGGAACAGTGAGCCAGGCAGGAGAGGTCTGTGTGCCATGTGGGACCCTTGCCGGTATCGAACCGGGGCTGCAGAGGCTATGGGCAGCTTTGCAGCCCAGCGCTCAACCGCTGCGCCGCCACTGGGGAGACCCTACTTGTGTCTTTTACCAAGATACTATCAAATTTCCCTTCTTCAGCAAGATTTTTTAAAAAGAGTGATTTTTCAGAGGTCTGTTTATTTAGGTTTTGAAACCAGTGTCTTTGTTAATTTCATCTGTACTGATTTTTCTGGAAAGGAAGGAAAGTTAGAACTTAGGTGTACATTGAAAATAAGTAATTTATAGTTATGTAGACACTGGTAAAATGAAATATGTTAGACTATAGGACACTAGAAAACTATCCAAGCAACAGATAAATTCTGAATATATATATATATATATATATATATATATATATATATATTCAGCTTAATATATATAAAGCTTTTATTTTTTAGATTATAATTTCAACATCTAGAGTTTTCATTTTAAACCTTTAAAATGTGTAATCCTAACATATTAGCACATTGCCTAACAAGAATGCCTAAACATTTTATTTTTCAGCATTGAAAAAAACCAAAAAAGATCATGTAAATACATCTCAGACATCTCCCAAACTCCCATAATTTAAGAACAGAGAAAATTTAAAGATGCCAAAGGGTATATGGAGAAAAATTAGGTACTTTATCACCCTGTTACAAGAATATTCATTTCTACAGATAGGTCTTGAGTGCCTATTATGCTTCAGGCAGTGTTAGGTTTCAGTACTGTGAAAATATTAAAGGATTTGTTACTTTTAAGGAAACATTGAACTAGTAAGAATTGTGAATGCTAGGAGAACTCTATAACTATAGTTGCCACTAGTATTTAAATGACTTTAAGTGATTCAAATAGTGATATGAAATGTTTTTTAATTATTTATTTATGTGTGTATATATATATATTACATCATTGTTCATTTTTGTACAGTGTTTGCTTTCTTTTCTCAGGTGTAGTCCCCATAGGATTTCCACCACCAATTCACCAGTGCTCCGTCACCATAGTCCCTTGTGCTCTTCCCGCCCTCATTTTGCTGCTTCTCCCTCCCCCTCCCCAGGCAGAATGTCTCTGATTTATAGTTGCCTGTTTATTTTTGTTTTGTTTTGTTGTGATTGAAATATGTTTTTTATAATGAAATTTAAAACAATTTAAAAGTTGTTATCTCTGCATAAGTTTAATATATTTGCAGTTAAGAAATGGAAAGGAAGTCCCATTCTCTAAAACTGTGCTTATCATAGGGTCTGTAATTCAGTAATTCATTTCTGAATTGGTTCTTCACAGAAATAGGCTTTTTCTAAGAGGGAAATTTGTGAGGTTTTAACTGTTAGGCAAGTGTGTATTTTGTGTCTTCTGAGATGTGATGAGTGCTTTCTAACTTCCAGTGTAAAGAGTGCAGCTGGCTCCTCTCTGTCTAGCTTCATGTTCTCTCTGCTTGTCTCCTGTTGGCACAGTTTCAGCCTTACTGTTCTCTCTGCCACTTGAACCTGCTAAGCTTCCCCTTCTCGTTGCTTCTGTTTGGAGTATTCTTCCAGAATTTCCACATCCTGACTATCCCAGCCTCAGCTTACCTTCTCCCTCTGTTTATCTCCTTGCCATACTTTATTTTCTTTATTGCATTTTTCACTACCTGGCATATCATATTTTTATCTGTCTTTTCCCCAGTAAGTCCAAATTAATTGAAGGCCGGGATCTTTTCATGTTCACCTCTATATCTCTGGCCCCTGAAATTGTTTGACAGTATGTGTGTTCATTAAATGCTTGTCAACTATTTTTCAGCCTTTACTGAAATAGGCACATACTTATTGGTATAGTGTAGTGGGCTAAGGCATGAATCTGGGTTCACATCTTGGTGTATTACTTGGACAAGTTAGTTAAATTTTCAGAATTTTTTTTCAAGTTTTATTGTTTAAATCCTTGTTTATTGTTTTGTAATATAGTATTGTCCCCTCAGGTGTGGGCACCATAGTTTTCCTACCACCCAAGTGCCCACAGTCCTCTACCATACTTCACTACACTCTCCTCTCTCCCTCTTCTCTACTTTCTCTCTCTCCTCACCCTTCCATCTCTCAGGGTCTCAGATCTATGATCTGCTTTCAAGGGTCAGACTTACAGTTTGTCTTTGTCTGATTGTTTGTTTGTTTTTTCTAGATGCCACATTAAAGTGAAACCATGGGTAGTTTTCTTTCTCCTTCTGGCTCACTTCACTTAGAATAATCCCTCCCAGCTCCAGCAATGTTGTCCCAGATTCCATGAGTTTATCCTTTTTGATTGCAGAGTAGTATCCCACTGTGTATGTAGACCACATCTTCTCGATCCACTCATCTGTTCTGGGGTATTTAGGTTGTTTCCATATATTAGCTATTGTAAATATTGCTGCTATAAACATAGGAATGCAGGTTTTGAATTAGTGTTTTGTGCTCTTTGGCTAGATATCTAGGAGTGGAATTGCTGGGTCATTTGGTAAATCCGTTTTTAGTCTTTTTTGAGGAATTGCCACATCTCTTTCCATAAGGATTGGACCAGCCTGCAGTCCTACTTACAATAAATAGCATTCCATTTTCTCCACATCTTCTCCAGCACTTGTTGTTTATGGTTTTGTTTGTTTGTTTGTTTTGATATGGGCCATTCTTACAGGTGTGAGGTGCTATCTTATTATAGTTTTTAGTTGCATTTCCCTGATAATAGAGACAATACTTTTTTCATATGCCTTTTAGCTGTTTTCGTATCTTTGTAGAAGTGCCTATTTACTCTTTTGCCCATTTTTTGATTGAATTGTTTCCTTTTTGTTGAGTTGTATAAACACTTTGTAGATCTTTGATATCACTCTCTTATCAGATGTATGGTGTACAGATATTTTCTCCAGTTCAGTAGGGTGTCTCTTTGTTTTTGTCATGCCTATTTCACTGTGGAAGCTTTTTAGCATGATAGAATCCCAGTTATTTATTTTCTACTTTGTTTTCCTTGCTACTGAAGATGTCACCTTTGTGTTCCAACTGGCATACCATCATATCATAACTGCTGGTACTTTTTGCTACCATCCAAAATACAGTGTCACTAGATTAAATTTCATACCTTATAATAGTCATTCATTTGCTACAGATTTATCCAATATATGGCATATGATAGGCATGGAGCTTGAAGAGAGGACTAGAGGCAAAGTTTTGCTATCATAGAGTTTATATTTTTATTTCTGTTTGTTACTTGTCTGATACTGTCCACTAAAATGCATCAGGTCATGCTCCCCTGAAGAAAAAAGAAACTTGATAAAGGGGAAAGAGATTGAAGCCTGGGTACCACTTTTTATGTAGAGTGGTGAATGTCGAACAGAAATATGAAAAAAGTGATGGAGGGAGATCAGGAAGAAGTACTTGAAGCTGAAGGCTTATGTCCAAAGATGTTAGTTTGCCATGTTTGAAGAACAGCAAAGACTGAAAATAGAACCTTAAAGTGTGTCAAGGTGGAGGGAGGAAAGGGGAAGTCACCACTATTGGTTTTCTCTGCTTGGAGATGGGGTTGAGTGAAGGTGTAGGCAGATAACACAGAGCATCATAGACCATTAGAAGGGGTTTGAATTTTACTGAGTGGCTTAAAAAGTTGTTAGTTTACTTTTGTTTTTGTTTTGAAGAGTGACATGTTCCAGACATCAGAAAAGTTACGGAGATTCCTCTGTGTAGCCTATAGAGGGCTAGTGATTCCATTCAGGAAAGAGAATGTCAGATTGTATCATGGATGTGGTCCTTGAGTTTGGGAGAAATGGTTGGATTTTCACTGCACCATCAACACTGAGTCATCAGAATTTGCATGTGGAGTAAATATAAGAAGTGTACTCCACCTCAGAAATGCTAGTACCATGGTCATTTACTGGAATATGGAGCATTAAAGAAACAGCGGGTTTGGTCCAGAAATCTAGAGTTTAGCTTTGGGCATGTTAAAATTGAGAATGCTCTAGTTATGTAAGTCAGATGTCAAATAGCAAGTTGGATATTAGATTCCAGAACTCAGAAGAAAACTTCCATGACTCCCCGTTGCTTACACATGAACTCTAAATTGCTAGCAACTGAGATCTTTTATCAGACTCCAGCCTGAGTCTTGTCTTGGACTGTTATCTACTGTCAATACATAGTCCAAGCTAGTGAAGCTTTCTTATTTCTAGAATGTTCTAGAATTTTCCCATTTTGATGCCATTCATTATACTTGGAATGCCTATCATCTCAACGTTGCCGACTGGAATACTCTCCAGTCTTCATTGCTTTATACATGGGAATGGAGAGAGATAAGTGAGTCAAAATACTCATTTTAACAACTTTTAATGAAAAGATTCTAGGCTGTTTTGCTTTGGTGTGCTCATCTTAACAGCGGCATAGAATGCTTTCTCCTTTTTGTGACAAAAATGACTTTTTTTTTTTAGATGGGAACCTTTAAAGCACACGACGGTGAATATTTCCTAGAACCTCTACTGAAAGCAGATGGAAGTGAACATGAGGATGATCACAACAAGCCACATCTTATATACAGACAGGAATTAAAGAGGGACTATTATCTACAATTACATAAGCCTTGTGAAGTTTCAGGTAAACTATGAAGTAAAACTTTATAAAACTGCGATATAAACTTAAGCCTTATGGATTAGAATTTAAATATTTTCCTTGAATATTGAAATGTATGCTATTTTAGACACATCTTCTAGATCTAGATGTGAGGATGCATTAGAAATTAATTAGACTGAAAAAAAACAAAAAAGGGCCTCCCCGGTGGTGCAGCCGGTTGAGCACAGTGCTGTGAAATTGTCCGCAGTCTCAGTCCGCAGCGCCGATTTGATTCCTGGCCGGCCAGGGAGAAACCCACATGGCAAGGCAGACCTCTGCTTTCTCGCTCGCTGCTCCCCTCAGCAGTGCTTTTGGTCCATCTGTCTGTTCCACTTCCCACTCTGTCTCTGGTGAATCCTCTCACCCTCCTGCGACTATGGCCTGTTCGCCAGCTCTTGTATAAATAAAAATAAATCTTAAAAAAAAAACCCACTTAAAAAAAAGAAATTAATTAGACTGGCATTTAAATCCCAAGAAAGTATTCAGTATGTGAGATTTTTAGCAAATAATCACAGTAAACTTTACATCAATCTGTTAGTCATATTAATATGATTTTTCTCAGCAGAATTTTAGCTAATTAAATAAAAAAAACCCTGAACTTAAGTGCATGCTTTTAACCTTTAAGTAAAGGGAACATATTGCATATGGTTTTCTGTGACTTATTCTTTTTGCTCAGCATGGTTTCTGAGGTTTGTCTGTATTGTTGCGATTAGCAGCAGTTTATTCGTTTTCATTGCTTTACAGTATTTCATTGCCTCATTGGGTTCATGTATCTGTTTTCCTGTTGATGAACTTTTGTGTTTGCAGTTTTATACAGAAGACTGGCATGAATATTCTCATCTCTATCTCTGTATTTGAGTTTCTTCAGGGTACACATATGGTACTAGATAATTAAACATTATTTTGCAATGACTTTTGTTAATGTATACTTCTTCCAGCAATATACGAGAGAGGTATTCCTATAAAATTCAGATTACCAAAGCCTCAGAATAGATGAGAATCTAGAAATTACAGCTTTCTATAAAGTATAAGTCCATTGCTGGTGAAATGTACATGACATAGATGTCCTTTTTATCCAAGGTTGTGTCCATATATGTATGTGAAACTTCATTTTTCATAGAGTGATACATGATGATGTGATGGAGAAAATCACCTGCAGTTATCATCAAAGCACAAAATCCAGACAAAAGAGTGAGATTGGAAAGGATTTATTTGAGATTGTAGCTGTCCATAAACTATAGTTCTGAATGCTATCATGCCATCTGTTTTGGGATATAATGATATGTTGGCCTTTTGAGGGCTTTTCCTTGGGAATACACTTCCTAACCTTTGCTGTTAAAAGAGTGCCATTTTGGAGAGGTTCTCTCTGTGTCTCTCTGTATTCTCACTATGTTTTAAATCTATTGACATAATAGATGCTTTTCTTATGCTTTTAATATGAGCATAAGGGTTTCATTTTATGGCTTCAAAGAAAACACAAGTGGGTACAGCTTCACAATAGAATTCTACAGAAGGCAGCTTATGCTTGCTCTGATCTACCATTCAGGAGAAGCTTGTTTAATGAATTGTTTAGCTTCTTAAGAAGAAAACCACCAAGTAGGCACTCTGAATGCATAAATGTTTCTCATAATGATATGCAGGGTTTCACATTCACAGTCATTGTTATTAGGAGAGAAATGATTCAAGAAAAGCCAAGCCCTATGTTTAAAATATTTTTATCCTGAAGATTGATTATAAACACTACAAATAAAAAATAACTAAAAAGCTGTGGGATTTTTTTTAAAAATCATAAATGTATTTTTTACAGTATTTATTCACTAAAATATAAAAGTATCCATTCTTAATTGTTCTAAATTCTTAATTATACTAAAAATGGAAGTAATTTAACATACATAATTTTAATCATTAACAAAGGCAGTCATTAATGGCCTAAATAATTAGCTGCTAATCATCATTTTGTTAGTAAGAGAGTTGTGTTTAGTATGAATGTAATTCAGTAAAATGTTATTTAAGACCTTTTCTCTCTCCAGTTCACACATTGTTTTTCAGAAATTTCTGCAGGATCTTACATATCCTAAAATTAAATGTTTATTCAGAAAAATCCTTAAATAGAAATGTGACTCCCTTCCATATTTCTGTTGATGGATTTAATTCATTATGGTTCTACATGTTGCAATTTGTAGTGGCTTCAGCCTTGGAGAATTAAGTTGTTTTCACATCAGATTTCACCATGTGCCTTGACATCATACACATTTTGTTTGGCCTCTGACCTTGCTGTGAATGCCTGGCTCACAGGTAGATATAGATATCAGACATACTCTAAGTAAAATCCAGTAGAAATGGTAAAACATGAACAAGCAGCCTTTACACAGCATCATCAAAATAAAGCTAAACAATTAAAACCCAAAGAAGGGAAACCCTGAAAAGACTGACAGAAATGAAAACAAAACAATACAAAACTCTGGATTTGGTTAAATGTAGTTTTACTTTTGTTTATCCTTCCACAGAGGCTCAGAACTGGCCCATGTTCCTCAGGAGACTCTGATAGCCTTGCTCTATTTCCCCTTGTCTAGTCTGCCTGTCATCTCAGCTTCACGGCATAGGGATGTGGAAATAAAACCCAAATATCAAATTTCTTAACAAAGTTTAAATAGATTATCAAGCTGACTCCAGCTTACCTCTTCAACAGCACATCGTCTGGCTGTCTCCTGGTATCCCGCCCTTTTCTTATTTAACTGCTTTTTGTTTCCTAAATGATCAAAGCACTGTTTCACCTTCAGGTATCTGCAGATGCTGCTGTTACATTGCTATACTCCCTCCCTCTCCCCAGATAATTCCAAATCATCTTTTGGTTGTCAGATGAGTGATTTTCCCAAGCAAGTCCTTTATGACATCCACATTTCAGCTAGATCCTCCTCCTAAGTGTCCTTGAAATCATCTTCTGAATGAGCCTCACGTTTTCTGCAAGCAGAAAAGTTATTTTGGTACTAACATTTCCTCAACTGTTTGCATAGCAGTTGTTGACAGGGTATTAGTTTCTGTGAAAAATAAATGTAAACATTTACTTTAAGGAACATAAACACAGAATTTTAAAACTGACAGGTAGAATATAGTACAAACGGGATAATATTGGCATGCAACAAAATTAAAAATGATATGATAATGTTGATTATGTGCAGAATAAGTAGCACAGTCCCTGGCTATTCTATGACTAGGGATAACAAATTCCACACTCATGCAATTGTGAGGACTAGGGCACTTTTTTCATTCTAATTATAAAATAACAGAATAGTAATTTTCAACCATCTACAATTAGTAAAAAAGCTTAAAAAGGAATGTTTCCACTTTTATTTCCATAAAGAATACCTTAAGATTTAAATAGAGTTACTAGTAGCTCCAGAGATCAACATGGCAGCAGGGAAACGTTGTGAGTAAGATCTCCCATTAAAAAAAACGTTAATAGGGAGGAAAAGAGCAGGTTCCTGTGAGAACTGGGACACAAGATAAAGGGGCGACTCTGGCAAACTGCCCTAGGAAGAAAGTTGCCATAAAAGAGGACTAGAAGGGAGGAAAGCTCAGAACCCTGCTACTCTTCCCCCACCCACAAAGTTGGCACTCTCCAACCAGCAGAAAGGAGGAAAACAAACAAAAGCAACCAACAAGAACAAACTACACATCAAGAGGGACTGTGAGTGGAAAGGAACTATTTCAGGCACCACACCCTGTGAACTGGAACTGTGGAGAACAGGGCAGGAATCACTGTGGAGGTGGGTGAAAGGTTCCAGGCACCATTAAAGGAAGATAAGGACTCCATGGAGACCTACAAATAGCTCAAGACCAGCCGGTAAGCTTGTGCAGAAAAGCAACATGCTCGAAAGGTATATGCGGATTGCTGATCACAGCTGCCCAGGTCCCCGCGCCTGTGACCTAGGCTTGCGGGGAGACACGTGGGAGCCCTCATTGAGGTGAATGTCCCTCACTGAGTAATCAGAAACCAGGCGCCCAGACATGGGAGTGGGGTACAAAAGGCACCATTTCTGCAGACACTGAACTGGGCTACAGCCTGCATCTTGGATCTGAGGGCTTCAGAACAGACACCCGGGGCAGGAGATTCGGGGCACGGGATCCCCACGATGGTGGGGCACAGGGCAGACACAGCACCCCCATGCCGTTGAGGCTCTCCACACCACTCCCACTCTGTTCCCCTGAGCCCACGGGGTAAAAAAAAAGAAGCTCTGGAAGAACACTAGGAAAGATCTCTGGCGCCACCTAGCAACCAGAAAAAAAATCACCAACATCCTGATAATTGGAAACCAGGGATTCCAAAAACACCCTCAGGCTCTGAGAGAGGGTGGGCCACGCAAATGGGGGTAAGGAGGGAAATAAGGCGTGGAGCAAGACCCCATCCTGGAACTGAGAGCCAGGCGCAGGATCTGGGCATGGGATGCACCATACCAGCAGGGTGACAGCCAGTGTTTTGGATCTGATACCCGTGGAACTGAGACCTAGAGTGCAGAAGTCAGGGCGTGGGATCCATACAGCTATGGGCACAGCAGTGGGTGAACACGGGGCAGACACACCACCCAGCTAGAATTAGAGCCCCTGTGTTGAGGTGCTCCCTTCAGTACCCCCCCCCCATTTCTCAGGAAACCACTGAAAAAAGCATAGGTCAACAAATTCGGATTTCTGGTACCACCTTGTGACCAGAACAAAATCACCAACTAGTTGATTCCCTGTTGGAACTAAGTAAATACAGAGAGAGGAAACTGTAAGGGACAGCACCCAGCAACACAGCATCAACACCTTGGTGGAGTTTTGGCCTACCAGTGCTGGTCTCAGTCTGGTAAACAGTTTCTGGCACCCCCTAAAGGAGCACTCCAAAGAGATGCCTGCCAATACCAGTGGCACAACGTCCCAATGCATAGAACTAATTAGAAAGCAGACAACAAGGAGAAGAAAAAATATAAATAACCAAGCAAGCCTGC